CCTTCAGGAAAAGCAGTGTCTTGCATAAAAGCTCTGGAGCAGCTGGATGGTCCTACTAAAAGGTCATCAACCCTTTAGGATGGACAACGGGTGCTTCTCATTTTCAGCAGATAAGCTCATTTCCAATGAGCCCCTTTGTCATACAACAGAGATTCAAATGCCTACAAAGCCCAAAAAGCACAGACCTCAAGAGAACAAATACAAAGAGCCCTTTGCAACTGGGAAAGCATTGCCTGGCTATTGTGCTGTGCTGCTGGACACTGAAGACACCTTGGCAAAGCAGTGCAGATGCCCAGCAGTTAGATGTGCTCAGACCAGCAGAATGAGGGCAGGAAATTTTTATTTCCCTCAAATATCATATGTGAAGATGGCAGAAGCTAAGCCATCTATTTCAGCCCAAAGTGAACATCTGAAAAAGCCATATCCCCCAGAGTCCCGTAACTGAGGAACCATAAAACTCTCTGTCACATTAATGCTACAGGAGGGAGGAATTCATTCTGAACCCACCAAATCAATCTCAATTTGCTTGTACCCCTAAATTTTCTTTCTTAAAAGAAATAAATACATTCCTGACAACAACTGAAGTTCTGTAACATACCCTGTGGACTGCACTTTTTTGGTGCAAACCAACCAAAGCAGCCAGGCTCAGGCAAGTACCAGGAACAATGAAACTGACTCTGAGCCTGGAGTAGCAAATTTGCACAGACATTTTGAGTTCAGATTTAGTGATCTGTTTTTCACAGAGCCTCACAGCCCAAACCAAGAGCAAAAATAAGGATCTTTCTCAAAGCTGAGGGAATGCGTTTCCCCTTGTTGGGTTGGAAGCTTTAATCATGGTTGGAGACACAGCTCTGCATAAACCAAGATAAAACACCTGAACTCGCAGCCATGCATTCTTGACACAGCTGTAAGTGGGGCACTACAATTAGAAATTCACAGGGAAGAGACCTCCTAGGAGTCTTTTGCCTTGTTTTTGTTTTTTGTTTTGTCTTCAGCACTCAACATTTTGCCTTGGTTTGCCATCGTACAGCTGAAACTGTTCAATCCTGTCCCACCACTCTGCAAGAAAATACATCCATTGCTTTTCTCTGCTTTTATTATCCCCAAATGGTTATCAAGAGAAGTGACAGGATAACCACCATCACTGTCAAACATTTAAATCCCTTTCAAATTCCAGTCATTAGAAGACATTATTTCCCAGTATGCTTGAAACTTAATGAAAATATATCACTGATTTTGTAATTTAATGTTCTTTACATTTTTATTGTTCTGTAGCTCACATTGAGAATAAGCTTCTTTTCCTTCAAAATAGTGCTCACTTTGGCTTAAAGTGTTGGATAGTGACAGATGTCTAGTACTGGAGGCAATCACACAGGGGCAGGGACACAGGCATGAATCCTTAGATATCTTGCCTAACTCTGCCTTCATGTTCCCCACCTGTTTGCACAACCACATCACCCAAAGGCCTTCAACCCAGACCAAGGTTCCACATTGCTACATGCCATACACATGGGGAGCAGGAGGCAAATCACACTGAAGAGGTTGCCAAGCTACAAGGACAGAAGAGATTTTGAGAGGAAGGAGAGGAGAAACACTACATTCAAGGTCATTTAGCACAGCAGTGCTTGCTGGGAATGAAACAGGTCTCCAGAGTGCCCAGTTCCCTCTGGATCAAGCTGCCTCCAAGAGCTGTACACAAGTAGATTTCATCTTGACCATGGTGCATGGTCAAACAAGATTTTTTTTTTGCTATTTAAATACTTAACAAATATTGGCTACAGAGCATTTGCTTTTAGAAAAACCTTAAATACCATCAGACCAGGTACGTCTTACTACCTGGTACATCTCCCACAAAGTGCTATTTTGCCAAACAGACATCCTGTTGGAAATTCAGGATAAAACTCAAGATTTTTTGAAGGTAGGTGTACAATTCCAGACGAAGCAATCATCATTCAATACATAATTCACAGCAGGGACAAAAAATCCTCAGCTTAGGTGTGCTGCTATTTCCAGTATTTCATTTTCACAGTCTCTGCTGGAAGCCCTTTCTCCAGAGTCACAAAGTTTTCTTGTCTTTTAAAAAATGCAAACATTTGCTTTATGGGCTGAAATTTAGCATGTTTGGTTTCAGGTGGTTTGTTATTTTTTTTGGTTAAGGTCTTGCTGCACTGATCTCTTATGCAAGGATTTAAGCAGAACAGGCAAAAACTGGGGAAAATACCCTTTAATAGAGGAGGCAGATGACCACAGCATTCACTAGGCCTCTACTTAGGGGGTTCACACAATTTATGACTTGCCCCTGCTGCCATCCATGGAAATTATGCACCTAATATCTTGTCTTTTACTAATGTCTCCTTTTACTAATGAAAGATACAGTGGGTTCTCTGCCTCTAAACTTTCCAATGAATTACTGCAATTTAGAAGGTGTGATATGTACACAGAAGCACATTGAAGCTGCACAAGAGGAGCTCTGTACTTTACCCATCACACTAGTACTTCCAAACTGCAGCAAACAGGAGGAAAATATTAATTACATTTTTTCATAATGCATCTGCAGTTCTTCCAACAACACCCGAGGCAAATTAAAGCTCATATGCCACTGCAGTCATGGCAATTTTGAGATCATGTTGGTCACCTTGTCCATTTCAATTTACTGTACCAGAGGGCTAGAACTGGTCATGCTGGTGAAGGTCATGCAGATCCTTTCAAAAACTTCAGTTCTAGCAGAATTCTTTAAATAAAGTCTCTCCTACACCACCTCACATGACAGAAAACATCCTTAGATGCTGCTCTGTTGAGGCCAAAGACGATGATTTAGTCTTGTAATTTTCTGTGCTTTTAGCTATGTGCAATTTTGAAAGAAAAAAAACTTGCATTTAATCACTTCTGACTGCTTCTGTGACTCAGTCAGAGAGACTTTTGCTCGCAAGACACGGACTCAGCCCTTTGCTTTCCTATTCAGCTGCTGAGAATTAGGCAGGACGCCGAGGTACCAGGAGGGCACTGCTGACCACAGGTGTCCAAACTCTCTCCCCTCCTTCTATTAATGGTGGTCAGTTTCAGCTCATGGCAGTGTCCTTTCACCTGCCCAGCAAACAAAAAAAGTCACCAGTGACAGCCAGGTAAGCAATGCAGGGATGGTGCAGAGATTCACCCATGTCCTCAACAGCAAGGGCTAAGGGATATTGTCTGGGGTTGATGTTGGCCCACCCTTTCTGAGAAACATCCCCCTGTGCCAGAGGCACCCCCTGGTGCACTGTGTGTCTTTGCAATCTTGAACTCGTACCAAGGATCAAGAGAGCTTCCCTTTGTGTGAATTTAGTCCAATGGGCTGCGTATGTTAAATAAACTGCGTGTCGTTACCCTGCTATCACTCCTAGTCCAGTGAGAGAGGATTATGTTACAATTTATCTTACGTTGCTTTAAAACTGTCTTGAAGATAATATAAAAAAGAAATCTTATTCCAGAATAGGAATATCCCCAAGGGCAAGGTATTCCTATAAAATTATTATAATGCTTTAACCGCGTAAGCACAACTGAAAACATCTTCTCTGAAAACAAGTCATGGCTCTTTTTTCCTATCTGCAGCCATTATCCTGATAAATTTGGGAAGGTCAGCTAAGGTGTAATCCAATAAATGTGCTGATGTTCTGAATAAGTACCTTACAATTTGCAGCCTAATCTATTATCCTACTATAAGACCATCAAATGACTCACCAGTTTTAATACTTAGTACAGATCAAACAAAGGAAAATATCAAAGCTTTACGTTCTAGTTCCACCTTTCAAGGACTTGTTTGAGTTCTCTTTAATTACAGCAGATGATACATCCAACTCTGGCATTTTCTTTCTCTAACAGGTCTAGTTAGAAGTTCCTGCAGCAGTACTTTTCACAAGGCATCATTACATTAACCAAGAGATGCTGAAAAGTCAGATAGACTGAATAATTCAAGTTGTGATTTGATCCCAGAGATGGAGTTCAGCTTCTTCTGCCCACCAGATCACACAGTGTGTAGTGCACCTGGGAGCCTCACCATCCAGGTGCTCCTGGGTGCAGGTGACAAATCTGCAGAGTCCCCACCAGAGCTGTGGCAGAAAGCCATGGAAACAAGCACATTCATGAACAGGAATGAGCTCATCATCTTGGAAGGTGATGAACTTCACAAGTCAGATTAAGTCCCAGACTTGGGCTATGACTTCAAAACCTCCAGAAACTCAAATACACCTGTACATATAGCTGTACACAGCCTACAGACCCACACACATGTAAGAAATGAGACCAGTCACGAGACTAGGAAGGAAAGACAAGACATAAACATATCTAGGATGATTTTATGAGATCTCAAGAATTGCCCTTTTAAAAGTGCCATCAGGGTGTCACCACTTCCTCTGATAAATAGATGACATCTCACCAGAACTTAAATAGCTCCACTCTAGCACTACCTAGATGAGTGACAAAAATTAGCCAAGTCGCTGTCACCCCTGCAGTCCTTGTCTAGACACAGCAGAGAAGTGCGAATTCCAGTCTGCCTTGCTGGGCTACAGCCACCCTGACAGCTGAGCTCCGATCCAAGCCACTTCATGAGATGCGGATATCTGGATCCTTTGGCAGCGCGACAGGCAAAAGTTAACAGAACAGAAAAACAACAAGAAAATAAAAGCACAAAAGTACTTGTGAACTGAGAAGGTTTTAATTCACAAGTCATTGTTGGTTGGAAGTTGAGGCAAATGAAATGCCATTTTTTGCAAGTATTTTTCTAATAATCTCTGTGGCAATCTGACAATCAGGACCAGAGCCTCTTTGCTCAGAGGTGCGGCAGCTTTTGAGCCGGTGCCCCCTCAGAGCAGCTGCACCCTTCTCCCCATTGACAGCCACATCTGGATGCTATCAGGAGGAACTGGCAGGCCCTCTCGCAACAAATACCAAGCACTTAGCAAATTGACTCCAGAAGTTGATGCTGGCCCCTTTCTCACTCCGTGTTTACACAACGTGCCACTAACCTGTTGAGTCCGAGGTTTGTATGGAGAGCTGCTCTCTAGGTCGGCCAGGATGCTGGTCAGAGAGTCGATTTCTGCATCTAAACTGCACCGCCTCTCCTCAAGCGTCTTGCCACCAGGCTTCACCTCAAAGAAGAAAAAAAAGTTCCAGTTATTCAAACCACCTGGCCTGGTGCTTGGTTTCTTACTGTCCTCACGGAGCTGCACCCATGTCCAGCAATAACTCTCAGGTTGCAGGGACAAACATGCTGAAATCCTATAGCTCCCTCCATCTCACAGGAATTTATGCTGCTTTGGGGCTTTTCTTCACCTAATTGCCACAAGGGTCCCATTGTGTAAAACTGACTTGGAGGATTAGCAATTCAGCAATCTGCTGCCAAACTGAAGAGGCAGGACAGTGCCCACACAATAAGATGGAGAAGATGTGTTATAGAACAATACCTGTCTGGAAAGACAAAGCTGGGGACAGGCTTGGAGCACCTGGATCATGAGAGCATTCTTCTGCCATGTTCTCATCTCAGGCAAAGCACAAACAGAACAGAGCTACAAGCCACAGTAGCTAATGACTGGCCACATGCACCTATTCTTATTTTAAATCAGTTCTTGGTAGGTGTACCTGTCTGATTCAACACTTCTTCACAAATTCCATCTGAAAAATGAGCTCCTTCAAGAAGGAGTGAAAAGGTTCAATCCATTTCTAGCGGATTGAAGGTGAAGGGTGTGATTTGCAAAAAGCAGTCACAAAATAACATAAGTAAGGTCCTTATGAAAAGGCTTTTATGCAGGAAAGCCCATGCCCACAGCAAATGCCAACATGCAGCCAAGGACCTTAATTCAATACATTTTGTTTTCTTTCTGCTTTCAGAAATTTGTACCCAGGCTGGTAGGGATGCTCACTTTGAAGGGAAGATATATGAATTTTCACCACCACCACCCACCTCAAAAAGTAAAACCCAGAACTCAGCACCACAGCAAAGCATGTGACGTTCAAGCCACTGTTTAAGGGCAGCACTGCAATCCCTGCTACAATAAGCATTTTTAAAAAGGACTAATTCACACGCTTTTTGATAAATCAACCTAGTGCAAAACCTCTGGGAAGGACCTTTGTGTTGTACAGCCCAACCCAACAGCAGGACCTCTCAACAGGGCACAAAGTCAGGTAAAGACCAGGAAATATCCTCCTCAATGTTTTCAGTGCTTTGGGAATTAGGAAGCTCCACTAGGAATGGGAAATTTATGAAAACCAGCTGAGGATCCCTGCCATGGACAAAGCAGGTGCCAGGGGCTAGGACCACTGAGCCAGGCCACCACCACGGCATGCACAGAAACCAAAGTTCTTGAGTCAAGTGAAATATTACACTGAAAGTCTTTTCTCAACCTGAGTTCTTTTTCTTCTGTTCTTACATGTCTTACCTGCAAATCCCATGGACAGGACAGTCTCTCTGTGTATGTGCAACCACAGAGTCCAGTGCAGAAGAGCTCATTCAGAGCATGACAATGTCAATAGTAAAATACTAAAGAATTACCTAAAAACTTGCCTAATTTCATCTGCAAAAGCTGTTCAGACCATACTAGCACCTTCCACAGACAATCCAGCTCTGTTTGCCTTCACTCTCACCAAGTCACTTCAATTTTCCAAGCCAAAAGTTTGCCTTTTCCTTTGGCTCACTGGCTGTTCCAGATAGTTTTTATTTAAATTTCATTTTAGGAGCAGTCGATCATTACCTGTCTTAAAGAATTCCCCAGTCATCAATGTGACACATAAATGGGAAGCTGGTCAGAGAGACAGGCTATGCAAAGTAGGCAGCCTCTGATCTGCCAAACTTATACGTGATGAGGCATCCATCAGTTCCTAATGATTATTAAATCTTATTGGATTACAGTATGTTTGGCTTGACTAACAAGAAAATAGAAGTGTGGCTTATGCAAGAACACACCATTTAAAAGGCTGAGAGTCAAATTAGAAAATACTTACAAACTCAACTCTTCTTGACTATTTTCATTATAGAGCCGAAGTCTTTCCATCCAAACCATTGTTCAAAATAAGAAATATTTTTCACAGGAACTAGCTCAGATCATTATTCCTGGCTAACTGCAGGCACCTGGCTTTTAAAATCTGCAAAAGTACAACTTCTTTTCCACTTCATGGCTCTTGTTTGGTTTTTCTCCCTCTTCCAGTTGTTGGCCTGTAACTGCCACAGGCCTCTCAGACAGAAAATCTGTGATTGCTCCACTCCAGAGAATTTTGAAACTAAGCAGACAAAAGTCAGCCTGGAAAGGAAAGGGGAGATGCAAAGGGCATCCAAGGCCCCAACATGTGAGGTGATAAATCAAGCCGATGGCAGACCCAGGAATAACACTGGAGTCCACACAGGACCTGCTTGGTACCCTGACCCTGGAGAGAAGGGATGGTGGCAGGCAGATGAGAAGATCAGCCAATTTCATTTCTGCTTCTTAGCATTTCTGGGCCATATTATTCCCAGGTTCTTATTCCCCAGAACAATTATGCAATAGCTGACTAGCAAATGCTGCAGAACAAGTTATAAGGTTGTAAAAGTTAAATGTCCTTAGGAAACCTAGAAAAATAAAATAAAACAGCATAGAAGCATCTCTATTGATTCTGGGCTCTGATTTATTTATTCAATTAAAACATAATCAACATAGATTAAGAGCCCAACTCTACAAATGCAGGAACATAATGCAGTGCAACAGTGCCAACAAATGACACTACCAGTGTGTGCCAGAGTTTACTGGGGCAGAAATGGACTTTAAAGACATTTAAGAAATGGCAGTCCTCACAAAGACAGGTTTCTGGATGCTTTTTCTTCCCCATCCCCACAAATCTTGAATTTTCTCTCTCCCTACAGTGCTCCATATTCAACCAAAGGATTTGCTGTGTGGGAAAACTGGAGCATTTGCAACACCAACTTCAGCAAGAGAGGGTTAAGTTATTCCTCTTTCCATGCTTTTTGTCATGACGTTGCTATAAAAGTTTTATGATATTGTTCTGGAACAAAACCCGAGCGCCAGGTCCCAAGGCACAACAGGTTCGCACAGACGCGGCTCTGCTCTGAGGAGCCCGGGCTGGTTAAGCACAGATACAAACACCGGAACCAGAGGGAACTGCTAACTCTATTTCTGTCTGGATTTATGGCATTGTTGCAGACATGTCGCTTGTGCACCCCCTCTTCCAGCCAGCAGAATATGGAAAAATGGGTTTAAAAAGAAAAAGGATGCTATCTTTGGCTCAGCCAACGTGAGTTCGACAAAAAGCAAACGTAAGCCAACCCAGTCCAACAAATTACTCATGCCAGAGACTATCCACTCACGTGAACTTCTGCAACGCCTACACTCCTATCCCCTGGCTCAGCCTCTGCTGTGAGTCAAAAGAGAGAAAAACAGCAGAGAGTTTCACTGCTTGGTTTGTTTGTCTGCCCCTGAATTCCTGGTGTGCAGCTCAGAGCGGCTCTGATGGTGAGCCACTCCTGAGCCACATCAACCCACTCTGCTCTGATGAAAATTTGCTTTACTTTTGCTAATCCATCCTACAACCCAACAGCAGTCAGTGCCACAGGTGGAGTGCCACACCACTCCAAGGAACATTCATTACAGAACATGCAGTGCAGAGGTCAACACAGGGTCTCAAATTTTGCCTCACTGTGCTAAAACAGTTGTAAGACTATTCACCAAGCTAAAAGACATGAAGAGCACAATGTTTTCCCTAGATGTCACCTCTTCTTACAACCCTAGATCACCTACTCTTATCATATTTTGTAACTTTCAGCAGAGGAACAACAATGTCTCTCATTTAACCAAGCCAGCTCCTTGCAGCGGGCTCAAAGAGAAGAATCTGGCTCCCAGATGTCCTTCCTAGCTCCTGCTCCAAATTCCTTTCCCTACCCAGGCCCAGCTGCCTCTCTGTTATTCTGCTTTCCCCTGTCTCCATGCCCTGCTTGCTGCTCTGCAGGGCTGTAGCTCAGGCCAGGCACTGGCCCCTGGGATGAGAGATGCAATGGGCTGCCAGGTTGGCCTCTGAGCCAAACTGCTGGTGCCAGGTGGTGTTGCTGTGTCAGGGAAACATGGAGAGTGGCTGTGCAGCAGCGACCTGCTGACATGGGTGGCAGGCTACAAGTAACCCCAGAGCCCCAGCATGTATCTTCTACTAACACAAGGCAATGGACAATCTCCTGAATCCTGTGGGAGCATCAGGACTTTCTCACCACAGTGCAACTTTCTAGCACCAATATTCACTATCTCTCCATCCACCTCAAAAGTCTTGTCTAACAGAGGCTGAGCTCAGCACATTTGCATGTTTCCTGAGTGCTGTGGCCAGCTCATCCTCTGAAATGTGTCCCAGGATTGTGAGCTGTCATTCATGGGAAATGTAATGGTTTATCTGTGCAGACACGTCCAAGACAGCAGAGCTGCAGCTAAACACACAGCCTTCCTTGTAGCATCAGCTAGTCCACATGCCATGCTATCACAGGTCACTGATAACCTCCTAACTCACAAGTGAAAGACTGGGGATGAGCACCATGGATATTAGGAAAGGTCACAGCTAATGACTCCAAACAAAGCTGGGGGCCCACAGTGCCTTCTGCTCCCAGTACATTGGTTTTACTGGGAGCCTGAAGTGCTTGGGAGCTCTCTTTGAGCTGCAACACATCAACACCTTCTGCATTTACACATCCAATAACAGGGAAAAGCAGAAAAGCCTTCTGGGGCAAAGGAAGGGCAAAAGCAACAAGAGAAGCAACTGGAATTTAGGCAAATCAGGAGTTTTGAGCAAGTAGATAGTACATAAGGACTTCTGCCCTGAAAGACTTTACTGTCTTTTCCTCCAGCAAAAGCTAGTGAACCACAGGTGAGTTGGTAGAGCTGGTAAATTCAGTGCCCACTGTCTGCTTCCACCAGGCTGCACCCATGGCAGCCACCCACCACGCTCTGCAGGCTGTTGTAATCCTGGGGTAGGCACAGAGGTGGTGGGAGAGCAAATAAAACAGGAGTGAGCCTCTCCTTATGCTCCATGGCCTTGGGCACTGGGCTTAGACAGAGATGCAGACAGAGCAAGAAGGATGCGATTCTTATTTCCTATTTTAGCTGGGGACAGGTGAGGGACAGAGAAA